GCGCCAGCTACTTGTTCGGCGTAGCACCGTCGAGTGACCTCAGAAGGTCCTCGAATATTTACACAAACTCGAAATGGCACGGCTAGCAGGGGAAGAAGTGAGGGGGTCTCAGGGAGGAAGGTTCCCGAACGCAAAATGGCTACTTTATAAATTACCTCGGTATCAGAACGCAAAGAGAGAAAAGGGAAGGAAGAGGGCACGGGGGTTTTCCAAAAAGGGCGCAAACTATTCTAAGACGCACGCAATATGCCACTGGCCTCGAGCGGTTGGCGGAAGGCCAGATTAAAACTCAAAAGATCTACTACGCAAAAAGGCCGGTCCACGTGGGGACGGCTCGCCAAATCCAAAAGGGAGTCTATTCTCAATCTTTTAGAACGCAAAAGCAAAAAGGGGTAGGGGAAAAGGTGGGAGATAGGGAAAACTCAATCACGCAACAATAGTACTCACTCAAAACACTATACAGCATCCAAAGCACAATAATCCAAATGATCGCACTCCACACTCCCTCACTCGCACTCAAAATTCGCATACGTTAAATTCTCGCTCGTTCGCTACTAGGGCCTGGCTCGAAGTGATAAGATTTCCGGTCGTCCGTGTCCTCGTGGGCCTCCAGGGCCTCGTTGATTGGCTAGGGCTGCTCAGCTGAGAGGGCTACGCGCTCCGGCATTGGTCGGCAGTTCCGGCATGGCAGGGCATTGGTCTGGTTCAAATTAGCTGGGTTGCCGGGCCTTCCAGGGCCTCGTGGTGGTGGCACGGCGCTGGCTTTGCCGGCGCGCGCCGGTCAAGATGGCGGCCTCCAGGCCTGTCAAATCCTCCCGGGCACGTCCGCGGTCTCGGAGGGAGAGGGCTCCGCCGCTGTCACACGGGACTTTTTCCTGCCCGTGTGACGGGACTGCACCGGGGCTGCATGTATTGGTGGTGATGGTGGTGGCGGGGCATCCATCCCACCGGAGTCTCGATCATCTGTTGTTCCTCCTGCCCATGCAATCCCTGCCTTCCGCTGCCTCGGCGACGTAGCCGCTCTCGCGGTCCATTCAGGGATGCTGTTCCCTCGTGGCAGGTCCACGTTGATGTCCTTCCTGCTGGTGTTGGCTGTGGGTCCTCGAAGATGGTCCCCGAGCCAGTGCCCTACGGGGAAGGGTGACAGGGAGGGAAGGGTGCAGGGAGGGGGTCTTAACTCTAAATACACTAAGCCTAAAACACTAAATAAACGCAATTAACAATACTTAACTCTAAGACGCTATACTCGAGGCCTATGGGACCCCGAGCCAGGAGACGGGGAGGAGTTTATTGTAACATTTTTGTTAGAATATATATTACGTATACAGTAAAGGGCTACGATTATAACGCATTTCGTCCTCGATGGCAGATGAACATCGGCCAATGTATTTCACAAGAATCGCTACTCTTCACTGCACATATATATAATATGCGAACGGCTTTCGAAACAACCCTTAAACGTAATGGCTTGTGAAAGTAACGTAGAGTAAGGGGTGACGCTGTTTATCCTGAAGTTACGGTAATACTATGCCAGGCGAACTGTACCAATAATGGGATCCGGTACGCCCATCTGAATATTCGAGCACCACGGTATCCGGATATTCAAGGATGCCTATGAATGCAAGAAGCATTATCAGATAACTGGAACATTCTGTTCTTTTAGTTATTCTTATTAAAAGTTTCACTATATGCCACTGTATCCATAATCCTTGTTGTGACTTTTGATCACGATGAAAAAAAGAAAGTTATCCCCACGGGAATAACTGTGTTGACCACTAGGTAAGCTTTCAGTTTTTTACAGTTATCTTCTTAACATCTTATATTGAGTCGAACGAACTATTCGTGTAAGATAGATATCTCGGAAAAACCAGGTCCCTCATTGGCCAGAATTGGTCATGATGTAACCGTTCTATCGGATAACTTTTTTATGATGACCGGATCCGACCAGTGAAGGATCTGATTTTTGGAGATACCCGTCTTGTACGAGTCCGTTCGACGTCAATGGGTACCTTAAGTTTTCTAATAGATCCTGCTCCTTGTAAACTTTTTCGGCGTTCATTATTTTTCGGGTTATCAACGGCACACGACGAAATCTCGTAGCCGAGTTATCGCGATGGGAAGAAAATATCGATGAGTTGTCTGCGATAAAACCTTCTTGAGTCATCGAGCTAATTGTGGTCTATGGTTATGATAACGATACCTTACTTGCAGCCACTAATGTTAGCGATCTCCCTAATTACACTGGCACAATCACGGCTAACATAATTGCTTCAATTATGGTGTTCGGTGTCTACGAGTGATTAAGTATACGTAGAACCCAAGACTGGGCAATCAATAAGCTCGGTATATTCTTCTTAAAAAAAAAGACACTCTATGGAAAGTTTCATGAGTATCCTCCTTCTGGCGAGTACAGCAAGAAGTTATTATGTAAGTAGGAATTATATTTCAAACTCACGTATCAGACTGGTCCATCGTTTGTGCTTGTCTAATTCTTGCCTGAGGTGAGACTATAACTATAGTGGGTGTCTCAAAATTCATGTTGTCGTATTGATTTCTGCACATTCCACGTGGCATTGTATTTGAGTTTTAGCAACTTGTCTTTCGTTCTTCTCAATAAGCTGAGAAAAGTAGTCCGCTGGTCCACGTTGAGTTTAGCATCAATGACCTTTGCCAGTTTTACCTGAAAATTTAAACATTTTTCAATACAGCAAAGGCCGACCTGAACGTCTATTTTATACCTCAGAAATACTGGCGTATACCTGCTCACTGCTTAGGGAAAAATTTACATTCACACTGTGCGTATACGTGTATATTCAAATTTAGCAATTTCCTTAGCTTAAGATTATAAATGAAAGAATCTGACAGGGTTGCCGGTATCAGGGAATATTCTCGATTCGAAAGTTTCCAGTATTCGCAAGAGAAATCCATTAAGTAAGCCTTCGCCGTGAAACGGGAAACACCCACTTGGCATAACGAGAATCCGGAAAGAACCTCCTACACTCGGCCGCAGCGGAAGCGCACCAGACTCGCGTCTTATTTCCAGTTTTACTGCAGACGAGCTAAGTCCTTGCAATCGCGGATAAGCCCGGTTCAGTATTCCCATTGTGCCACGGCGATGATGCCGTAATGCGTGTTTAATCTCATCTGTCGTGATTCGCCTTGAGAGAATCTTAAAAACGTAACTGTCATCATACGTATACCCAGTGGAATACGCGAAATCTTCTAATTCGTCAGGAGAAGAGAATCTATCATGGAGGCATCGCATTAGCCTCGAGACTCTGCTGGCTAAAATAAATAACAGGACAATAAAAGACACGGATGGCAAAAACAGAAATGAAAATCTCGGGGATAAAAAGAGGAGAGAATACTTGTTCTGGACGCGTTGGTACTGTTATAAATATAAATATATATATGTATATGCTTATGGTGTACCCTCAAGCTCCAGGATGAATGAGCCCAACTACATCATAGCAAGTTGCATAATATTCTTCAGGCTCCTATCACAGGACGGAATGGCTGTTCTACTAGTTGCACCGCATTCCCGTCGCAAACAGCATGCAAGACGGGAGCACAACTAAGTAGGGAAGTAAATCTTTGCGTGGAAAACAACAACGTAATGAATGCAGTTTGCTTTGAGCGTAGCTGGCTACGTACTGGGTGACCCCCCCAGTACCAATGTAAATTCACTGTGCATTTAGATCCATGCGACGTTAACGGTACGAGGTGTGTAAAGTTTTACAGCTGTTTCTCCAAGAACTTTACTCATAAAGCACCACTTACACACCACTCTTCGGCCTCTTCGTTCAATCCCTTTAAAAAGTGAACGCTTAAGACTTACATCTGTACGTCGAACTGGTGCATCCTTGTTAGAAAAGCTAAATTACCGTAGATTTCACATCGCGATTAGAGACTCACGTACTCCTTGAAGGCTAACGAGAATCCTTCGGATGACGGTGGATTTTACAGTGTAGATGAATCAGTGAAGCTCGTGGAGCGTTGAAAGCCGTTGAAAACTCGTCGTTCTATAGAATGGTGGGACATGCAGATATTACGGAAGGTTAACCCAGTTTTACTTAATACAAAAGAGCGGATCTGTTTTTCCACATAGAAAATAGTAGGTAAATAGAGGAAAATGTCATCGCTAGATGGATAAGTGGTTACTTTTATGTGAAGTAAGCTAATACATGGCAGTATACGTAAATGAGATTGGAAGAAGATAGGACTGGGCTTTTGGTTACATTTTCGTCGAGCCACTCGGTATGTATGAAGTTGACGGTTACGTGTGAGTATAAGGGACCGTATATACATATGAGAACCGCGAAATAGTGGCAATGGCTGTAATAGTGGTTGTGGGTGTTTCTGCCGAGGCAGGGAATGCAGTGGCATGGTACTGGTCCGTAAGAACCGCCATTGCACCCCAGGGGATCGCTGGTACTACTAGGTTGGACTGCATTCCGGGATGCACTCGTGTTTAGAAAACACTATGTAAATGCCCCTTGCGCAACTTAATTAATTAAACCGTGGTCTTGCATCATCCTGAGCTACGATATTGGGCTACGCAAGAGGAAGCTACCCTGTACTGTATATCTTCGATGCTTCGTGGTTTCTTGGTATCATCCCCTATTGCATTTAGAATGTAACGGGATAATTTTGAACGGAAGATCTAATCATAATTTATTGTTCAACATGGTTCAATGGCCTGGAGCAAGATACGCGGTACCGATCGGTCCAGCCTGTAAGAATTGCATCGCACGGAAAAGCCGTGATATGCAAAGAGATTTTTACTTATGGATAAATTGCAGATACCAGTCGAGAGATTTACGGCAATCGCCTTTTCGCGAGTAACGTAAATCTCGGCAACGCGCGGATTCGTAATAAAGACGCGACATAAAAAAAATTGTATTAAATTTAACGCGCCATCGCGGAATCGCTATGATAAAATAAAATATTAATCCCCCGCCCTCGTGGCAACCGGAGATTTAAGGCCTCCGACCCTTCCCAGTTTACGTTGTACAGCTTCTTCATTCTTTTTCACGTGAACTTACGTTAGTAGGTATACTGCGACGCACAGACTTTCCCCCTTACGTCACCTTATGATAAATTTTCTTGTAAGATTCACGCAGCCGTCTACCGCGGCTGATTATTCTACGAATCACCCATTTTTCCGATACTTACTCCTGTCATGTGCTCTCAGCACTTGAGCTTCTTAACCTCAAAACACCACGAGCACTCTGTTTCGTGTTATAATTATAACTCCATGAATTTTATCGTTAATCAGATCGTATGTCATTTTCAGCGAGAATGGATATGTATGCCTCATCTTCCATGAGAGGGATGGCTACGTGATTGAAATGCAGCAGTCGGAACGTTGGACACAGCAACCAGACGAGGCATGCAGTTCGAATGCGTTTAATCCGCTTGCAACACCGTACACGACATTCATTAGTAAGTGGGTTTAATACGAGTCATCTGTTTTGGGGACTTACCGAGATCAACGTATCTATTCATGGCAAGAACCGTCGAACGAGCTTCCATTCGCAATCCTAAATAGAATGGACTGTGCTTCGAGTGGTTAACCAGGAGGAGCGTGACGATCGCGCCGCCATGTTGGAAAATACAATTGACAGCTGCAGCAGATAATGGAAACGTCAGGAAATACGTCAAATGTATTGTTATTCTTGTAAATTATTATTTTTAGTTTGTTTGTTAGTCTTTTTTCATGTTTCGTTGTAGTGAGCATACAATGTGAATCTTGTTTATGACATGATATACGATACCTTTACTTGATGTGCATCAATCAATGGAATTATTTCCTCCGTATAATTGGTAGGTACTCAGGTTTAATTTTTACGATTTAGTATTGCTCAGTGTATTGCCTCCTTCGTTTTACCTTGATTTTCTATTTTTGTTCGGTGTATCAACGACAAATGATCGAACCGTTAACATTTCAAGATCGGTCATAACGGCACCATTAGGTTTTATCTCGAATCGTTCGAGAGGATGCGATAAACTATCGTTGCAATAACAATAGAGTTCGAGACAGTTGCAAATGGCGGAATTTAACAATCAATTGGAAAAGTTTACGGTGACATAAAGGATCATACGAGAAAACCGTCGTAAAGTGAGAGTTACAATTCCGAACGTAACAAAGAGTCGCTCTTAAGGCGGAATTTATCGTTGCATTTGAATTTTATGTCGTCTTATATCGTGACGCATATCGTGTCGAACGTTCATTAAGGCTCGCAAGCCATGGCGGACAATTTTACCGGCACGTGAAATATCCGAGTGCATCGTAAATTTATGACGGTCATCCACTCGGATTTACGTGAAAGATTTACGTAAAGCTTTTCGATGCAGTGTTTCGACCTCGAACTAGGACAAAGTTAACATAATAATCCACTGCTTTTTAATTAACGCTTTTACGAGCAACGGCCATTACGGTAACCACGCTAAATTGTTTGAACATCGTTGACAGAAATCTTTTCGAAGATCCCTCGCAACTGTTTATCAGGACTTTATCACATTGAAATATTTCAGCATCCGAACCACTATCTCGGACCTGCCCTCACTTTGGCCGATACGAAGTTATCTCAGCGACGAAATCCCGTCCGATCGATTACATGGAGAAGGTAGTGGCTCCTGAAAGTGAACAAAATCCAGAGGAAGAAGTCGATTCAGAGTTTCCGGAAGTAAAGGCATCGTCCCCCTCATCGTCACCAAGAAGACGGTGCGATCATGCCAATGTCCGCGGATTGCATATTGGTTGTCGAAGTCCCGACAGCATGGAGTTTTCCACAACCTGCTCGGATGAAACCACCTTCGGTACGTTATTCCCTATTCACCATTCGAAATTCTCTTACTTGGCTTTGCGTATTCTGTATCGTTTCTATCTACGTCTCCTCCGCGAAAAGCCTTCTCTCCAAACTGTAGCAGATCCACAGCTTTGCAAGTTGCGAACTGACCTCTGAAGTAACTCGAGAGGACCACGTAGGATCTCTGCTCCTGACAGAGTCTCGGACCTGGAAAATCGCTTTTACACTCCAGGCTGTCCCGCGTGGACCGTCTCGAGATCCTGAAAAGTCATCTCTAGCATCCCGAAGGGGTTGAAATTCTCTACTGTCGCAGAATCCAACGCTGATCACCGATAAGTGGTCATGGGGCAAGCCTCGAGAATGCAATAAACCCGCTTTTTTTAGGTTGCCCCAGGTACGGAATAACGATTGCTTGCATCAGCGATTGCTGCTGAACATTCCTAAAAGAAGACCAAGTAGTCAATTGTATTGCAAGAACCGCATATACTATATACGAGATCTAGTGAGTTGACGTCTAGGACGATCCTGAGATGGTTCACTCGATGTCTCGCTCCAGGATGTAGCGGCGAGCGCGTCTGCCTGGAACATCTTATCGGATTACCCTTCACCGGTACAAAGTTACCGCAACCGACAATAGTTAGTTTGCGGCAGGTTAGCCGATACTATACCGTGCGTTGCCAACGTTCCTGCCAGTTTCCAGAGACTGGCATTTCGAATTAACGCGGACACTCGTGTGGCAATTCACCTCGGGGCGTTGCCAGGCTTGGTGCCGCTAATTGAACTCGCGCGGAAATTAAACACCAGTACTTTCGAACCTTGCCGAGCGATTACAGTACAGCTGACAAGTTAAGAAAGGCAGGTACGTATCCAAAGATAGGTTAGTTTTACCAGAGATCGGACAATTTTCAAAGTGGTCACATAAATATCCTAGCATATAGATGCAGATACCGATATGCCCTGAATGAAAATTTCAAGAATCCTTTCACCATTTCACATAGATGTTGTTGATGTTTCTTATTGATGTTGCGGGTAACAGTAAAATTGTTCCCGTGACGCGTGCTATTACCAAATCTGTCAGTTACCCAATCTCGTAGGTTTACTCACAAGCATCGAAACGTAGCGAGGATCACGTATGAGGATAACAGTCTACATTCCTTCAATCTTAATAATGTTATCATATATAGATTAGGCGAACAGGTTTGGATACAAGACTCGGGGTAACGTAGGGTAAGGATCAAATCGATTACCATTTCTGAAAGCTTCAAAGGATACAATTCCCGTACAATACAATTAGACTAGAATTACATATTCAAGATCTGGGATGCCACTCGCAGTATGCGTGGCTGGGTGGAATTATTTAGAATACTTAGCCCTTGAACATCTACTGAAACAGGATGCAAACACTGAGAGCGCTTAGTTAGTTAAGCAGCTAGTTTCAACTTACAATTGAATAGTTATCACAAATAAGATTATTTTTAAATTATATTGCAATCTATTCGTCTTACGCTTAAGTTTTCAAGCATAGCACTTAACTGAACTAAAATGAAGGTAAATTACATATTTATTTATTTCTTCGTCCACGTACTCAGCAATCCAGTCATCTGATAATCTTATCTACCCTCCTTCTTCATAATCACATATAACTACAGAAGTCTACGTATATCTTGAACTAGATGTCACACTCTCTCAGTACCAATCGCAGAAACCAAAGGATGTGAAAGACTGCCCTTAGCGATACGAAAGATGTAAGAAATAGAAAGAGAGGAAGGTCAACCGCTAGTTAGATGCATTGAACGAAAGAGTATGGCCGTAGTGTGCCCTAAGGGAAATCAAGACCCCATCCGGCTGCTTCGAAGACACCGTGTTACAGCCACAACTTGGGCCTTATCCACTAAACAAGTTCAGCGGACGTGGCGCAAGAGCAATCTCCCAAAAAAACACTTACGTGTAAAAAATTAGGCCAAGTACAGGAGTGCTGTGTATTCCTCTAATAAAAAGTATTGATATCAGATTATTGAGGCCAAATACATAAGTCACTACATGTTTGCCTATTATATGATCTAGCACTGGCCCATCATTTTAATTGTGTTTTCAAAATTTCTTATGACGTTTTCACAACTCTTTTACATTACTACTGCTTCCCGTAGTTGATTATGATTTAATGGTTATTTAATAATTAATAAAGCTTTAGAAATTCCTTATCGAGTACTACTTGGCGGGTCCGTGCCAGGAATTCCAAAGTACTTACTTTGAACGTACTAATAGTATTCTAATACCATATGTTTGTTATTAAGGTTCTACCGTGATTATTATTGACGAGTTATTGTTAATATGCTCTATATAGAAAGTTGACATTGGTTTTGAATTTAATGAATGGCATAATGAGCGCAAATCTATATCAAGAAATGCACGGACCCGCCAAGTAGTACTCGATAAGGAATTATCTACAGTTTTATTAATTATTAAATGACCATTAAATCATAATCAACTACGGGAAGAAGTAGTAATGTAAAAGAGTTGTGAAAACGTTATAAGAAATTTTGAAAATACAATTAAAATGATGGGCCAGTGCTAGATCATATAATAGGCAAACATGTAGTGACTTATGTACTTGGCCTCCATAATCTGATATCAATACTTTTTATTAGAGGAATACACAGCACTCCTGTACTTGGCGTAGTTTTTTACACGTAAGTGCTTTTTTGAGGGATATCACAAGTTTTTGTTGCTCAACGGGACATAGATGCTCTAAGCACTGAAATCTATATTTTCACAGATATAAAATGTGAATGCATTATGATGTCGCTAATCAGAAAAATATATCGCGCTGTCGAAAATGTTTAATGGCATATAAATTTAGTTTATAAGCTCCTTTTTTTTAGAAATGCATAAAGATATATACAAATTTTTAAAGAAAATGTAATCTTCAATGCATATAATTGTCGTTAATGGTGACCAGCTTGATGAAGCCGTGTGGTAAACGTAAGAGAGGAGAGTGTGCTGGATTATTTACGTACCTCAGCCCGTGCGAACAACAGAGAGGATACTATAGTTTGAGCGAAGCGCCAAAGCGTCGCTCGTAGCACACTTTTCTGGACTTCTATGTCCGAAACCTAGAAACAAGAAACTACGGAGCGGAACGTCTGAACACCCTGAACTTCCACGTTTGACACCTAGATACAAGAAACTACGGAGCGGAACACCTGGACACCCTGGACTTCCACATCCAGTACCTAGATACAAGAAACTACGCAGCGGAACACCTGAACACCCTGAACTTCCACGTCTGACACCTAAATACAAGAAACTACGAAGCGGAACACCTGGACACCCTGAACTTCCACGTCTGACACCTAGATGCATGAAACTACAGAGAGGATCACTTGGACATCCTGTATCTCTAAAAACTGTCACCTAAAATGCGAGGAACTATCGCGAAGAACACATATACATACACCCACATACACGCGCTCCACATGAAAGCCTTAATAATTCTGTACTATTGTGAAAGCAGCCTTATATTAACTGGAAGTTTGGTATGAACGGTAGCTTCACGTGTAAAGTGTATTTGATTGTGTTGTGTATTCCTAAATTACTAACACCATACAGAGTACAAATAGGTCAGGAAGGCAAAGCAGTGAGCGCTATCTGTCGTGTAAAAAAGTAGATGGACGTGCGAAGACGACGACGACGACGACGACGACGGAACTGAAAGAAAATCATCTCGCTCGCCATCTCAATATGCCCTGATCTCGTACACTAATCGTATTGAACGTGGTGGCAATCAATTCAGAACCCTCAATTCCTATAGTGAATGTATCAATAACTTTTTCTCGTGTATAGCGGTTAATAAGATATTTCGTTCCAAACACAGGTTCCAGGTTCCAGGTTGCAAACACATTCAGAGTTGACTCAAGTAAAGAGTCTCTGCGAGCTGTACCCTGTACAGTCGGTTGCCTGTACTTGGCGCGAGACTCGACCGAGTCTCTTGATCCCTGCCAACTGGGATCCACGTGCAGTTACTCTAACAGGGTGATTACCCCCTTGTTAACCACATATACACAGAGTGTTACAAAATGCACCAACTATATTATACAGGATGAATTTAACCAAAGAACGCTTGCGTGGATGTAACTTGGCCAGGGATATGGACCGGCTACATCCATGAAATCTGGACAAGCTTCCGTAATCGTCACCACACGTGCAAATGTTTATTAAATGGGTATCTTAAAATCCATAAGCGATATAGGAAATCTGTGACCAAGGAATCCAAAGGCATTATTCGTACGGATTTATTAGGGGATACATTCTCCGTCGTGCTTCTCGTTTTTTTATTTTCACAATTCGTCGACACACGGAATTTTCCCAGAATCATCAGCGCGATGTACTAAAAATATCAACAATAATTATTCGAGACTTTTCAATATTTTGTGATATGACTGTTTGTTACCATAAAAAAAAATAGAAAAAACTTTGGACAGCCATTTTAATTTTCTGAGTTTGTAAGAATTAGCAAAGTGTCTGATACAAGCCGCAAAAGCGAAATGCTCCTTAATAATGCAGACCACGAGCAAAAGAGAAGCTTGCTTTTCTCTATACGTAAAAGCTTACTCGTCACGTTCGCTAGACGTACAGACTGTTTATCCATACAGGAAATCCTCAGGTCGTTCGGCAGTTTGCAAATTGTCCTTAACGCGGAGCAAACGTCGTGATTTTCACATGCGAAATTCTGGTGAAATACCATATCGTAAAATCAAAGAAAACTCACGAGACTACGGTTACACCGAAGTTTTCGCCAAACATCACGTACAACCGGCGAATGGTTATTTATTTAGCATTTATTTACTAGACAACTTGTGACCTCTTCGAATTTGCAGAATGTCCAATTTCAAATTACTTGAAAGACTCGAGTAAATTGTCACACTTTTATCCAGAAAGCTTTGCTTCCGACTTCTACCCTCACAAGAGAAACGTTAGATTCTCATAAATTATGCTTGTTTACCATGGGAATAACTCTGCGAAGAAGGTAAACGATTTCCTTCCCTTCTATTATGAGAGTCCTCTCTACATTCTTTAAATATAGTATAAGATCAAACCTCTATTACATATATACAAAATTATATAAAAAATGGTTGATGAGCATCCTTCATTTTTCTCATATAAGTGAAGAATTTTTTTTACTGAGTAAAAAATTCTGTTTCAACTTCTTTTTCAGTGTACTCCTGCCATGGCACCTGGGTTGAAAATGATACAGTTTACTTAGTGGCGAGTACAGAGGCAGGACGTTATTGTCTAATTTACACTACACCCACTTCCGTAACCCCAAGCACAGATCTTTCCGTAACGGGACATCTCGCCTCCTGTCCAAGAGCTTCTCATCCCAGCCCAAGAATATCTCATCCACACCAACACGTGTGGCAAGTCAACCTCACAGCGTATGGTAAGTGTTTTCACCACACAAGGCAGGCCTACCATTGTGAGTCTCCACGTATTGTGAACGAAGTTTTACACAAGGAATGGGTTAAGTCAAAATTTAATATATTTTACAGCTCAGTGCGGCGAGACATCCTCGGCGATTTCTTGGGCGTCAGAGAAGAACGACCACTTCACGTTATTCGGCGTCTTGACGTGCGCCATCTTAAGTCGATACATCGAGAGATGATGGCGATGAACCTAAAGCCTCTAACGGCGACTCTGTATAGTAATGCATAATTTTAGAGATCGGAGAAAGTAACACTAATCATATAGGTTTTTAAGGATGGAAGTGTGTATTTTGAAATGGAGACGATTAAGTAAACGGGTACGCGGCACGACAGCTTGCGAATACGGCAGTCAGTCAGGGTGTTGAGGCTTTGCGGATGCATGTAAATAAACGCTAGCACGTTTTCAAATGCATTTTCTTCGCACTTGCGTATTTATTTATCTACATCTTAATAGATGAATGATATATGCGAGTGCGCTCGAAACGGAAGCACTCGTTCACTTCGTTGGGATCGATGAGAGCTCGCGGTAACTCGAAGTATCCTCACACTTTGCACGTCTCGTATTTCTCTAGAAAGTCCGTCCGCCAATGACCATTCTAAAAGGATCAGCTGATTGTTCCCAGGCGGATTACAAAATGACGTGTTCTTTGTGTCGTTCGTATGAGTCTTCTTTTTAAAAAGCGCAATGGAAGAGGTACTGGTACCTGTATATAGACAAAAGTTTACTTTATCCAGTTTCCGTTTAATGATTTTAAAAAAGCAATCCTGAAGTTCAATGAACTTTAGGCATTGATGAGTTTTCTTATTGGAACGATCTCAATCTTCAAAGTATGATATTATATGTATACATAGAAATACGTTTTTTTTTTGCTGTTACAATCATACGAAGCACTATTGGCGATCAGAAATGCTACTTTATTCGTGAATATGCTGATTGTACAATCACGTGAATGGTCTTATACGATGTGCGGTTCTTATCGGGACGTATTTGTTCCTGATTTTTACGATCGATTACGTACTTGGTGCAGTGAATATCTGAGCGCATCATTCAAAATTCGAAGTCTCGTAACATCGATGGAAAATGTTATTTACACACGCGAAGGCCGCGTTGTAGCTAGAATTGGTGAGGAATCGTGTTACTATGGTGTGCGTTCACGTCGAAATTGGGAGAAATCTAAACCAAGGTTAGACTCAGTTAGCGAATTCTACTGAGAATTCATTTTTTCTTTTTCCAGAAAATCCTAGATTTTAATTAACCCCAGATTTTTTTCACGTACTTAATGACCGATTCATTGAATTAGAAATATACAGGGTGTTCGTTATGAAACGCACTGTAGTAACATCGTTGCATTCCTTGTCAAATTCTAATGAATACGTGTATTTTCATTTTTTATTTCACATATTAAAATTTCGAGATAATCAAGGTTGAAGTTGCAGTAATGCGACCAATCAGAACGCGTTTAAACGGAGCGTAGATGACGTCCAGAGTCAGCCCGCAAGGCCTGCTTACAGTAGGCCAATAACACTAAGAGTATCGTCTCTTGTATCTTACTCAATTACATGCAGATAAACAGGGACACAACGACGATACTCTTAGTGTTATTGGCCTCCTGCAAGCACGCCTTGCGGGCTGGCTCGCGACGTCATCTACGCTCGCGTATAAACGCGTTCTGATTGGTCGCATTACTGCAACTTCAATCTTGATTATCTCGAAATTTTGATATATGAAATAAAAAATGAAAATACACGTATTCTTTGGAATTTGCGTGCGTTTCATAACGAACACTCTGTATGTAGCTTCCATACCATTTAGCTCGACGAAATCCGGATCCAGCCGCTAGGACTATGACTCGTGATATTTATGTTTTGCCCGCATTTGATTCCACGAGTCTCACTCATGATATTTATGTTTGGTCCAAAATTTTTATCACTAGTCAGACTCGTCAAAGTACGCCAAGGAGTTAGTAGTATACATATGTGTACACTCTTACTTTTCTCAAATGATATTTATTGTACTTTAGGATACGATGGCTGAGTCTGACGCACATATCAAAGTTTGCTATTAATCCAGATACCAGTATCTTATTGGCATTAGGTGATCGCGATGTGAACGTACCTTAAGACGATGTATAATAAAATAAGGGTGCTGGGGCCAATATTATATGAAGTGAGTGTTGATTGTAGGTTGAAAGAAAGAGAGAGAGAGAGAGAGAGAGAGAGAGAGAGAGAGAGAGAGAGAGAGAGAATTTATAATATTTATAAAGCTGACTGTGCCGTATTCGCTAGTGTGTCTGTGCATTAAGTGAAATGTACTTAGAAAACTATTACGATTACCGTAATTAAGCATATGCATTTTCAATTAGTTGTGGTCCGACAAACGTTCTCTGTAGAGAAGTGTGTAAAAAGTAGAAAATTTATACCACACAATCACCTAAGGATATCCAAGTAACTTGTAAAAATGGAACTTTTTTTACGAAATGTATTGTTAGTCGAGAAATATGGACAAGTAATCCTGATAATCCGAATATTGTTCAGCTGATGTATATTTATTACAGTATAATACGCGCAGTCGTTAATCAGGTGGTAAAGGGACGATCCTTCCGTAGATTACTAGCGCGACAATTCTAATTTTCCTCACGTGAAATAAGAAAGAAAAAGAAAAACACTGTTTCCGCGTATTCCCGAAAATGTATTTAACAAATGACATATCGAAGTAAATCATAGTGGAACTATAGGAAAGAGAGCATACAATAACGATAACGTCTTCATGAGTGGGGATGTAACTGTAAGCGTCTTGAACGCGAAATATTCATTTTAGCAAACCTAAAACCATGATGACAAAGTACACATATTTTTGACTCAAACTATTTTACTTAAATGCTGATCGTAACAAAGAAAGAGAATGGACACTCACTGCGTGAATTGTAAATTAATTGAATCGATACTCTGAGTATACATAATAGTATTTGATGTCGGCTACGAGTTGTACACTATTAGTTGAGAATTTTCGAGAGGAGCCGTCAAGTTTCGATTTTTTTTTCAAAATCGATAATATTACGCTTGTCAACCCGATATCCGATCGGCCTCTAACCAAATGGCATAATATAAAATAGTATTACCATAATAGAGTTTGTACATTCGAGAATATTGCACGATAAACGACGATCAGTTAATTTTTTCTTCTTCGTCTCAATCCGTGCAATAATTCATCGATATGACTATATTCGCCATTTTGGATCTTGCAGCTCCTCCAACTATTTGTAAATAATAGGTTTAATGCGAGTAGGGAGAGTACTGTCAATCGGTTCCATGTTGCGACATTATGGCATGGCACATCAAATTGCTAATGCTTTCCTGTAAAGTTTTGTTTTATAGGCGTAAGGGATGTAGACTCCAGGGTATTTACATTGAGGTTTATAATGTATATTATTATAGTTACATATAGGACAAAGAAAATATGATATACGATATGTTTTCATTGTTGTAATGTCGTCGTGAATACGTCGCTCGGCGAATCGTTGTTTTTAAGGTAGTATGGTAGAATTATGCTATAAAGTTGACACTACATTTTTTAATGCCTGATCAAAAGATGTGCTACAGCTGCTATATAAGCTGTGTCTATTGGCTCACAACAAAATTTTCGTACCGTCAAGTTAATTATTATTTGCTAATATTAAATTCACATTTTTAATAAATTTTTCTATTCGTTTCATAGAATTTAACAAATTATATATGGCTATTGATTTGACTTCAGCTAAACTCTACCATACTACCTTAACGTATTGAAAATTTCTTTCTGAAAGGAACAGATCGGCGTGTCGATAATGCTTTATTCCTTTTTTTTTAAATCCTAATCATAGAATAGATCACGATCACTCTGATCATGGATCGTAACGTTCCTACGTTCGTATGGTGAATATATAGACATATATGTATTTAAATGAAAACACGTGATATGATGTGCCATATTCGGGACACGCTGTTTTTCCACGACCGTAAAATGAAATTGATCTCACGACTTGTTTCATGTTCTCTATTACTTCTAATGTATTTTTTAATGAATCTAAACGAGATCATAGGCGCGTATTGTTCAGTGAATAATTGGCGTACCATTTGTGTATAAATATTTTTTAAAAATTGCGATACAGGGACGTGGTTCCACATTGGAGACCACGAAAAAGAAAACTAAAGACACTAAACGAAATGATTCATCTTGTACAGATGATGTGCACGTAGGGTGTAATTATAGACGACAAATTAATGATCGCGGCATGTGACATAATGTAAAGGTAGTGGTTATCGTAAACAGGTCGGTTTAATTCGTCTAGCGAAAGATTTTTTTTCCGCAAATTTTTGTTTCTCGTCACGAGGATGTTAATGCTTTTTGCAAATTGCGCCGTGCGCGTGTGTAAAGTCACTTATCGGTTATACCGTAATTGCATAAAAATTAAGTGGGCTTTGTCTGTAGGACACAGTTTTCAAAGTTGGTGCTCGCAGGCTTCAGTGCAATAATTACCAAGATTTTCATCCACTTCATTGTATTCAAAATACGCGAACGATTTTTTATGGATTTAGCCGCTTCGTTCCTGTACTTCCGATGGCAGTAATATTTAATACTCTCGCTGTTATATTTTTCTTAAATTAAAAAAAAAAAGAAAAACGAGTCCTGACGAGGAAAAAGAGACAGACAAGAAAAACTGAAAAGAATCGAGTGCTTCGTCAAAATGATAAAGAGGATCGTGCTTTTGAGGAAATTATTTTTCAGTAATTGCAAAATGGCTTAATACGATACATAAATATAGATGCGTCCTCAACGAAAGGAGGAAGTACATAAAGAACGTTATGTCCATTGAAGAAATTGGGAGCTGGTATTTTCAAAGTGTATAAAACGAAAAGAAATCCGTGCCCTCCTCCCTTAGTCTAATTGATGAGAAGAAAAAAAAGTTTACTACCTGTAGAACGAAACACAACGATTATTACAGTTTCTAGACTTAGCAAAGTACTTGGTAATTTTGATCGATTTTATAATGGACTAAAGGATTGCCACTTCAATATACCCGCAATAATGAGAATAGATTAAGGTTATCACGATGTAAAAATGCCTAAGACATTTTTTTATTGGAAATATCAGCTTTACCTCGCGTTAAATCTTACGCAGCCGATTATAGTTTACTACTACAAGATCACAACAGATGAGAGCGACGGGTGATCGAAAAGAGTCGTCGGAAAGAATTTTTTTTAATTTACAAAAATTGGAAATATCCGTCACGCTGATCGAGCGTGATTTTCGATTGAAAGGGACTCAGTTCGTATGTGCGATAATATCTACATGATACTGTTCTAAAAAAAAAAAACATCCACGCTTCAAAGCTACGAAAACCTATACATACTGAGTGTTTTACTAATGAATTAAAATATTATGATGATACTTATTAATATGAATGGTTTTTCATTATTATATTATAGATGTTACTTAATAATATATTTACAAATAATTAAGCATGAGATATAGTTTTCTTTACACGAGTACCTCTCCTTTTTCATCTGATACATATCATTCATCCTTGCTATTTTTAACAATATTTTCTTCAGCGTTATAACAAAGATTGCAAATTTTCCAAAGTTTTGAGCAGCAAATTTTTTAATGTACACGTGACTAACAATTACAATGATCATTAAAATAATCGACTGTTGTTTCTAAATGCAGCATCACGTTTCATCGAATGATTTATTTTATACAATGTACATAATATATTCGTGTTTTTAACATGGTTATCCATAATAGACAGAATTCACATCTACAAATAGAAAATATTTATATCTTTTTTCATATTATGGAAGAACTTTCCCCAATCTTAAAAGTAATGTACAATATTACGTCTAGTATCATGATATAGAAAAATGAATCACAAACAATAAAATCCTCAACAAAGGATATCATTACAAAAAGCATTTTTTGATAGTCTTGCAAGAGACTAAGAAAAAATGCTTTTGCGTAGAATAAGCAATTATTACAGCTCTATATAAATAAACAATTTCCTAAATTACTCAGTTTTAATTGCTCGCTGATTGTATTTTCATATATAATAGAAGTGGAAGCGTACCGCAAAACGTGCAGATAAAAGCACGTATGTACATGTGAGCAAGCGATGTTAAGTTATAAATCGAGAAACACAACCAAAAGAACGTATATTTATTTTCCCTAGTTTTTTTTACCAAACAACGCACACTTATTGTCTCATTTAGTTCTCATTTAGCCCTGCATTAATCTCTCAATTAACAATTACATAACATTAAACTCTTATCTGCACCTTAAATACAAATGATTGATTCAGTTAATATTCGCGAAATTTTTTATGAAATAAATGAGTGAACACAATATAGTCTAAGTGCCGAATAGGATTTATCTACATATAGTCACTTATGCATTCAAAAAATACTTTCACACAATCCCACCAGTAGCAAAGGATATTACTTGATTCTGACTCGGTATTCCACAAGCACCTTTTTCCGTATACAAATATAAGTCAATCATACCAACAAGTGCTACAAACATTCGCTCATTACCAGTCGTGTATTTCAGTTCAGCGAATACTCGAAACCAAGAAATATGATTTGGCTGAGGCAAAGATGTCGGGTTAAAACAGTCAGTTCAGTTCGTTTGTTGGTTAGTATACCTTTGGTTACAACGTTCAGTGCCATTTTGTAAGTAACTTCGAATAATTACCGCTTTTCACTCTTCAATCTAATCCCTAACACGCAATCCCCAAATACTTGTTCTTCGAACACCCACGGTTGGCCTGGCAACGGAACTATATAGAAACTTATTGAATGCAGTTTCGTTACAATTTGCTTGCAACGATGAAAGCGTAGCTTCCTCCAATAGGCCAAAGATATCCAAGTACAATAGGCTCTTCATATAAGCCAATCTCATATATGTCGAGGGTGGAATACTGTAACAACGGCTAAGTGATAAGTGCTCTAATTTTGTAAAATTCAAAAGGCTATGCACGGTGTTTATGGTTAGCATTGTACAGTCACTCAGATCGAGCTCAACAATGTCTGGGCAGCTTTTCACTAGTTCTTTTACATCTGTAAAAGAAAGGAAAAAAAAAAAAGATTATTTGTGGTTAGTTCAGGATAATAAAATACTGCTGAGAGATTGAATATAAACTCACTATTATCTGTCATAGTTTTTCGACAACCTGCAATATTGAGTTGTGTTATAGATGGGGGTAACGATGCACATAGGAATTCCATAGATTCCGAGTCCAATACACACCAAGCCATATTGAGTGCAGTTAGCCTACAAAATTAAATTATGTAAACAAAATGTACGTTGAGAATGTAGGTATGAGATAAATGAAGTTAAATCGAATAAGGACCTGCGAAGCTTCATTAGATCTCGCACACATTCAATATGGATACCTTCACACATGGTGAGGTTTAACATTTCCAGATCAGCGTTCTTGCTAATTGCCTTCGTACAGGCTTTATTTAGTGTACACTTCTCCAGTGACAATTTCTTCAAATATTTACATGTGGAAAGAAGACTCGCTAAGCCACTGGGAGATATCACCGACATTGATAAGTCCAAATATTGCAGTTTGCTGACATAGCCATCGAAAAGTACATCACTGTTTGGATGAAATATTGGATCAGCAATTTCTGCTTGTGCAAGCCTCAGGATTTGCACTCCACGTGGTAGTATGTGACCTAAAGTACCTTCATTTAGAACCTTACCACCAAGATCTAAACGAATCCATAATGCTTCATCCCGAGCTATCTGACACCACCTTTTGCAAACCAACATCGAGCGAACCTAAATCAAACGTGTTTATGAAATTAAGGATACAAAAGCAGACAAAGTACATTGTTATGTAATAAGTAATCTCTTACCAGGCATTTCTTGGGTAACCATTTAAGAATCATAAGGATCATTTCATCTGATAATTTATTAAATTTATCCTCTCCTACAATTGACGATTTCCTCTTTCTCCTGCATAACCAAAACTGATCCAGGTCACTCTTATCAGATGTATCAGCCACATCCTCTTTACTAAAACTCTGCTTAGTGTCTCCAAATGTTTCTGCTTCTACTCTTGATGCATAGCCAGATTCATTTTCCATGTTCGTATGGTAACCATTTGGATCTTCGAGATCAAATGGATCCTGTTCCAGTCTTTACAAAAAACATTGGTTATGTTATTATTTTGTAATGATGCATGGATCATATAATCTCGTTTAACTGAAAAGTTTGAACCAAGGCCAAATATATATGTCTCGTATTTCAAACATATTCAGTACAGCAAGTGATATGCAGTAAAGCAGTTATAAGTGCATTATTATAATTGTTCCTATTATTACCGTTATTTTACTTTTACAAATAGCGAACCTTAACAAAATTACATTCAAACACATGAGTCAGACTGCAAGCATTGTATTTGGCTACATACCTATCTATACTAATGGTGTCACAGCTACTTCCTCTAAATATTACATCTTGGCCCTCAAATAATCCATTATCAATAGAAGGCAGCTGTCTGCTGCTTTCTGAACTAGTAGGTGAAATAGTGCACTCCTGTGACTGTAACTTCTTTAAACTCTCACAGCTTACTTCTTCATCCTGCAGCATACTGACCCCCATGTCTTCTAATATCTCCGGTTCCACAAGACTGGTATCTCCAGTGCATGACCATCTTGCTCCATTTTTTGAAGCACTATTTAGAGTGCTATTTAGATTGTTGTTACATCCATCATCCAACCGCATACGTTTGCTAAAAATTATTAGAAAATATATTACAGTAATAGTCATGTAAGAGTCATGTAATAGTCTTTAAATAATTAAGCAACCTGTTCCACCATGGTGAAGGACAAGACTCATTACTCATTGCAAATTAAAAAATTCAGATTTAAAATGGAAAGAAGGTTTATAGGGTATTAAAAGCACAAGAATCTAATGCAAGGTGATGATATAGATAAGGTCTTTTATATACATTGTGCGATAGATTGGATCAAAAGAAGTCTTGTTCTACAGATTAGTCTGAGTATATTTTTATATCAGCAAAAATAATTGTATAGGATTTGAGGAAGCTTAGAGTAAACTTAATGAAAAGAGAATCAATGTAAAGCTTGATAATAAAAGTTTTTAAAAGCACTTGTGCACTGCATAGTAATAAGATAGTGAAAACAGTTATGAAAGACGTTGTAATTACACATTTTATTTGATAAATTAGTATAATTATGTGAATGGTCAAAAGATGTTTCTAATAAAACGACGCGTCTCGCTAGAATCCAGCAGGCGTCATTCCAAAGTTAAAAATTGTATATACATGAAACAATAATTTTCACATCGAAATATGCGGAACTAAAATCCACAGGACACTAAGCACAAATGTAGAATTTATAGGAATCACCAAAACGGAGCTCTATCCCGATTAGACGGCACGTGAGAGCCGAAAACTAAAATTTCTCGAGAACCAGAAATGGAGCGAAATTATATCAGAGCATAACGCGGATAAGATGAGTTGGGTATAAAATTTCATAGCCAAGTGAGTAAAAAGCCTCAAAACAAACTGAAACAACTGCGTAACGCTCAACGAAGCCACCAAAGCAAAAATGCTTGAGCCATTTTTCCAAAATGGTCACTGTGAACTGAAGTATAGATGAAAATCAGCTTTTCACTAATCATAATCACTACTAATAGATACAATTTTGGAGGGAACACCACCTGCTATACCAGCATGTCTCGCTCATGGTTGCCGAATAAATTTCTTTCTTTGACTACTTTCCACAACGTCCTTAATTAAAATGTCGTTGAGAAAGAAGTTTACAACTAAACGAGGGTGAAAACCACAGTAAAGGGTTCTTAACCTCACGTGCGCGCGCGCTCATGCACCTGCGCTCCCCCTAAGCAACAGGTAACATTTCCAGAATGCAGTAAACCAATTTTCTAAATCCGCAGAAATCATAATCACTAAAAATACTTCATAGTACGAGACTCACCTTTCGGATGGTGATAATTCTCCAGATTTCTCACATTGTTCTTTGGGCACTCGCGTGTTCTCCTCCACACCGGAATTCATTTTTGGCGGAATATTGTCAAACTTCTTTTTTTCAATCGCCACTTGCCACAAGAAAATAAAACAATCGCCAGTGGCGGGCTCCGATTGCTCCGTTACTTCGAGAATTATCGATATAATCAGGGACGCTGCTTTCTCATAGGCTAAGAATTCGATAATCTCGATAATACGTCTTTTCGAGGTATTGCAAGACTCGTTACGCGAGGTCTCGAAACAGAAAAAGGCGAATCCATTATGTATATGCTTGGGCGCCAGTCCCTTGTAAAAATAATTGTAAATCTTCTTCCTCTTCTATGATTTAATCGTAAATCAAACGGAATGCTTTCTAGAACATGACACTAAATGTATATGGCGAATATTTTTCAATGGAATTCAAAGTTTTAAATATAAAGAGATACATAAGTCTTTTGGAATAAAATGATTAAAAGTACGATTCCAAGAGAACACATATTTGCTCACAATCATGTGAAAATAATAATCTAAGATTGTTCATTCAATGGATTTATTTCTTTTCTATGAAAACCGAAAATTACAACCGCTTTCAGTTCTTACACTGAGTGGTCGTGTTCAGTCGTGTTCCATTAGTAAGTTTTCGCGCTCATTACAGTATTCTAATCAACTAGTGTCATCACATTTTGTTGCCTAATGATATAAGTAACTCAATCGTAACTCCATTACTAAATAGTGTTATTTGCTCTTATCATGAACTAGACAAATTACAAAATGCAACTAAAGATTATTGCAACAAATGGTAAACTGAAATGAAACCATCATAACCCTCAACTACATTTTGCTATTGGCATTATTGCTGCTTAAGCGGAGATAGTCGAAGTCGGTTTAAATTTCTAGCATAAAGAAAAACCTAGTAATTGGAATGAAGACTGCTTGTAACAGGCATTATTTCCATATGGACAGTGCTGATTAGAATATCTGTTGTATAGGCCAGTAAATTTGTGTTAGGAAAAGTGACTTGCAGCAGATATGACGTTCTCCCTTAGTACCATATATATTTGTAATTAGTATTCTCTTGCAGTTGCCAGATCAAAAGTTCTTTTCGAAATCTTTGGAAGATTACCATGCATATATATTTCGAATGTAGCAATATAAAGAACAGTATCATAGATTTTGTTAGAAAAATATTATCTTGTGATATACTCTTTTCCTTTTTAAAGTTCATTCCTTCTATAACATTGTGTTTTCATACTTCTAATAGAGCATAGTCGCTAAATGATATTCACATTGAATCAAAGTGTAGTATAATAATTTGTAGCAATACCTTTATTTTTACATTTATAAAAACCTCTTTTTTTCTTATATAGATTATTGTTAAAAACATACTATTTTATTTACATGGAAACTTATTGTTTAGGTATAACTACTGTTACATGATACAAAGATATATATTAATTAGATAATATTTTATTAAATACATTAACGTAATAAACAACAAAAATTTTAATTTATTCTGTCCACCGGTGAGAGCAATGTTGATTTGTACATACATAATACAATCTCATCTCTTCTTCTGCTCTTCTTGTTTGAGCTTGGAAAAATACAGCCTCACGGTGGTTACATTTTGGGCATGGATGTTCTTCTGTTCTTGGTAATGTTGGATCGGATATAACATCAGCAACAATGTGTGTCAATTCACTGTAAAAATAGAAAAGTAATGTCAAGTATCTTTTTATTGTCAAGAAAAGTATTTTCATTAAATGTGGTGCATTATATTTTATGAAAATCAATTACAAAAACTTACTCGATTTCGTGCATAATCTTATTTACGTAGATGCAATTGCTATCCGCTAGTTGTTTGAAGTCACAATTTCGGCACTAGGAGTTGAAAATAATTGTTAAAACGATTCAGTTGTTACCCGCCAAATGTTTAGGTTATGAAACTTTCTATTAAACTTACCGCGTACATCAGCACCTTGTTTTCTTTATCCTCTTTTGGATATAACATGTTATTGCATTCTTGACAAAATCTTATACCAACAAAACCTGGACCATCGTCGTGCGTATCGTATCCAGCAATCTTTGACATATTTCTAAAAGAATTATAACTTAAGTCTTATTTCTTAGATTTCAAACAATCAGTAACAGTCGACACCGCGTGGTACGCCGGAAACAAGAACAACCATTGGCGTAGGATTCACAACTAGTTGGTAATATATAAAAAATTAAACCAATATTATTGCCATCAAAATTGATGTTACGTTAATTTTTCTGTGAATATCAAGTACACAATAAACATTACTCTTTAAGGACAGTATAGGTTGCATATGGCTTATGCAATATAAAGAAATATTGATAATTAATGATGTCGTTATAATTTATAAGAGAATCTTCTTTGTGAAACATACTTCATGACGAATATACAATTCTACCGAAGAAAGTTAAAATTGGGCAAGTTTTCATGTATGCATGCCTAACAATATGCAAACAAATAAATGCGTCCTGTGAAACACAACTGTTAATAAAATCAATAAAATATTCTTTGCATATTAAAAAGAAAGGCATTATTCCATGCAGAAATTATAAATATAAGATCAGTACTTATCAAAATATTAAATCTGAAAAGTTCCGGCTAGATTCAGAAGATCGTGGATTCGGAAGCCACCACATTTCTTGAGTGTCCGCTTGGGGCGCTAGTGTTCCACTATACTTAATTGTAAGCTACCCCCAGCCTTACTACCCCCCACCTTGACACCCGTGCTCCCCTAGCCAGTGCAAATCTCGGCGGATGCATGTTTTCTTAAGGGATTCTTCCCAAAATTCATGTGAGAACCTGACGGATTCTATCAAAAGTCGACACTTGTGAGTGAAAAGAGATATTAGAGTAATACTCCAATCGGTATGTCATTAGATGAGTGGTGTATAACGTGATTGCGTGCGGTAAAACAAGGAGATACGTGAAACTTGTGCTCAAGGCGTTCCTGGGGGTGATGGCCCTCATGCCGACGGCGTCTCCCGCAAAGATATCACCATTTTTCCAATAACAAGGGATCCGTGCGTCTAATACAATGCGGCAATATCTTTGACTAACCTGAACGCTAGTCTGGCGCGGCACGTGATTACTGTTAGAAATGATCTAGTATTCTTGTCGTATCGGTTAATTTCCAGTGAGACTCGCTTGTACCTTTGTCAGCCGATTTGTTTTGTCGCACGTTCATCTTATTGTTCTTACGGATTTTTGCTAAATGCTATTTTCGGTACCGGATACTTTACCGTTAATGAGCACCGTTAAGTTTCTAGTACTCCTTGATTATATAGACGAGTATTAGATTTCGATTATTTACTCATGCTGTTTGCGCGGTAATGTCTTTTTCCATAATTTGTTGTTGCTCCAAGTTCCTGTACCTTGACAGCCATATTGTACAATATTTTAAACGCCTAATCGCACACCACGTTATACTGCTCATTTTAGGTTTTTCATTTATTTTCCTTGTCTTATTTGTCAATAATTATTTTCTATTGTGAATGTAACTCAGACATTGTATTTATAATAATTAACGGTTTTCTCTTGGATACTTCAAATTGTAAATGGGTCTTATGAATTATTTAACAATTTAACTTTCTATATGGAATTTTAATAAAGATATAAATAGTTTCAGGAAATTGTATCATTAGACAGTTTTTCTCATACACCTGTGAGTCTAGCATATGATATATATAGCTTTTGGCACAGACTCTTAGAACTTTGTTGATATTTTTATTTTTTAACTATCCCCTTGTTTAAGAAATACTCATGTAGTGTATATGAACAAAAAGTAGCATCATGGCTTTGTTTTATACAATGCTTACAATAATATATTAAATTAACTTCTAGATATCACAATGCTATAATTTGTCATGTAAAACTCATATTCTAGCTTGAAATTTCATAAATAATCTTTAGAGGACATTACTTTTTATCATAATTAAAATCAAGACTTATCCACTTTATATGTTTATTTTTGTGTCATTGTAAGGAACTATGGTAAAGCTCTCTTTCATAAGTTATTATTACTTAACATTTTTCATTGTTCATCCTATACCAATTTCAATTTTAAAATATTTTATACATCGTTCTTGTTAATAATGAAACTAATCAATAAAATTCAATAATCATTTATTTGTATTAGGCATACCCCGGATCTAGGAGTTACATATTAAAGGGTCTTACCATCTATCATGGAATCGGGGAGCAGTTTATCCACCCCAGGCAATTACCCGGGTGGGGATCGCCAGCAGTTTTGCGTATCTTGGAATTCTCATCAGTCCAATATGCACAATGCGTTTCCCAAATTGTTGAGTTCAGAGCAATTTGTTGATGTGACCTTGGCATGCGATGGTGGTTCTATAAAATGTCACAAGGTGGTCCTGTCTGCCTGTAGTGATTACTTGGAGCGATTACTACTTGAAATTCCCTGCACTCATCCCATCATATTTTTGAGAGACATGCGTATGTGGGAATTACAAGCCCTTGTTGAATTTATGTATCGGGGTGAAGTATATGTCGAGCAGCAACAGCTTGGCAAACTCATGCAGGCTGCCGAGGTTTTACAGGTATTGCAATTATTATTATTCAAAGATTTATAATATTCATATTTTTACCGTACCTAACAGTTTAATTTACTTTTTTTTTAATATAGATTCGTGGCTTATCTAGTCAGGGAAGGGATAGTACTCCCAGCGAAAGTGGTTCTCCACAGACTAGCACATCCGTCTTGCCATCTACGCCCACAAAAAGCGATATGCAAAATCTTAAGAATGATGAAACACTCTCAAACGATGCAAGCAGTGCAACTTTCCTTGAGGGCACATCCAGTGTCGCTTCCAATGCATCAAGCAATTCCTCTGTTACGACAACTCCCGCTGTATCTCAAAATGCAAATTCATCAAACTTCATGAACATAGAACACACCGAAGCACTACAGCACCTGGAAAAAGCACTAAGTGCTTGCGAAGCCACTCTCACAGAAACACCAGGCATGGTCAAAATGGAGCCAGACGAACAATTTACTCAGCAACAGGGAAGCAAACCTTATTCCATTAGCATGGTACCCACCAGTAACTGCAATCCTAGCAGTCCATTCCCTGCTATTGAAGGTAAGATGAAGGGTAGATATATAGAATATCGTTTTTTATTTTCAGGCACTATTATATATTTGTGTAGCAAGAATTTCTAAAAAAAAAAAGATGTTTAAATCCGTTATTTATATCTATATTATCTTGGGTCGTGGGTAAGAGTCCAAACAAGTCTTTTTATTTCTCAGGGTACCAAAGACGACAGCGACGTTCAGAAGAAGAATTGAAACAGGCCTCAGATATGGTGGCACGTGGAATGACGTTCCAAGTAGCATCAGAAAAGTATAAGATTCCAATCAGTACAATCCGATTTTACATGGTGCGGAAGGGCATTTTACAAAGGCGAAAAAGAGGACGTGGTTCGAGCAATATCGGCGTAAACAGTCAACCAGGTAGCCCGGCCAGTCCACCCTATCATATGATGAATTATCGCCTGCCAGAGAGCCTAAATTCCAGTCTACCGTAGTCTTGTGCAGAGTAGTGAGTTTTTAGACTTCACTTAAGACAAACCAATTGAGCGATGCTGTATTCGAGCTGTTCCAGACTGACCTTTTTCCTTTTGCTCTATTGATTCATACTAAAAATCTTATCATTTATTCAATTACCTGCAGTTGTTTATAATTTTTTTAATGAATATCTACTGCAATGTGCTGGTCATCGCACAATGTGCAAGAAATATGCTAACGTACAGTGGCAAACTGATTATTAAGATATTTGACTAGCTTATATTTGTATATGGCTATTACTTGTATATTTCACTTTTTTGAAATCTTGAACAGCTCTGTCCTATGTATGTTAAGAATTTCCATGTCTTTTTCGAGGCCCGGCATAAGGCAATCGACATTAATGCAAATTACAGACACCTCGGAATCATATTGAAATATTCTTTTATGGCTTTTCTCGTTTATTTAATTTCATTTATATATATTATCCAAACAGAGCGAACTGTTCTTAATATTTGGTGTATTGATAAATTATTAAGATGTATGTAAAACATCAAACATTTGTCTGCTGGCCAATTTATACGGTACATAATATTAATTAACATCACATTTTGTTTCTACGAAACATGCAATGTATAATTTCAATAGCTGATTTTGAAACATAGTTTTTGTATACTCTTCCAATTGTATAGACCAGTACATATACGTATATGTAGAATACATTGATTGCTTATTATATAAGTATAAGCAATATTGATTTCCTAATGTTGTACTCGAAGATCGTTCGTATGATTTATGCAAGGCCGCAGCCTGATCTTCTACTTACATTGGTAACCTAAAATTTATTAATTTTTTTTTTTCTAAGAGATAAAGAACTTCCTAAATTTCAGTTTGATTACAATTATATTAGAATTGCCGTGGAATGTTCATTAAAAAAAATCCGTGTTCGTAGTTCACTCAGAGAATCCATTGTTGCAATTTGTGTACAATAACATGTACGTACATTATTATCACTGTGCAACAGCACGTGTCGTCCAAAGCACTGCAGTGGATATACAAGCGTATGAAATTTGAATATTGATATATTTTTTAGTCTTGCAAGTTGATTAAAAGCTTGGTCGGTCATTAAACTTAAGATCACCTGCTCGCCGTACGTAAACGCATATTAGCTTGCAACTGCAACTTCTACCTTATTATATAGATATTTTTGTAGACACTTTTTATCATGGAAAGTGAGTTCTTTCTGCCGTATATTGTAATAACCTATACACCTTAACGACTTTTCCTGTAATAGGACTGGTATTTGTTCAAAGTTTACCATTAGCTTTGATAGGCATCACAAGAGTCAAGGAAATCATGACCTATGTAGTTTATTGCTTTTTACGTATTGGTGTACAAAGTGAAATTTGTAAACGACGATACACAATCTCACCATTTTTCATAAAAATGACAAGAAGCTCACTTTATTATTTTTATGAAGACTGGTATCGCCTTTTCAAAGAATTTTCTCATAGGAAGGCAGTAAACAATAGTGTACGCAGCATAAACGTACAATGTATTGCCTTTGTTAAATAGCATTTTGATAAAGTCATATTTTTCCATAAAACACCATAAACGCGATCAGATTACACTGTGAGAGCATAAGCAGGAAAGAGTGTCAGATACATAATGTAGATGAGCTGAGAATGCAGTTTCATACTTAAACTTCGATACAAATGTTTACGTACAATTCACGAATTAGAAGATCATGCGCTCGTTAAATACTTATTCATTTCCTATAGAGGACGAATTATTAACGTACAATAATTTTCAAATTTTATTCCCCCTTCCTATAAATGTGCTTTCTTTCATTCGACTCATCCCTATTTAATTATCTCATTCTCGACCTAGTGGAAATTTCGCGTTTTGTTTCAGGAAATATGTAGTGCACAACCTGACGTATTTTAAAGAATATCTATTACATGCCGTTTTCGAAGTGCCGATATTAAATAGTGATAATAAATAATGATATAACGATGAAATATATTAATACTTACGTGTTCGGTAAGTTTTATGTGTGAAGATGCCATGTAACAAATTGGAACTGTGCATGGCACATAAGTGACTAGAGACAGACAGCGTTAGTTGTTATATAACTAGTAAACATTAATTTCACTTGGTAAACGAGAGAAAAATCATTAGGATTATGGACATGTATCGCATATATATTTGTAAATATTAAGCATCCGCTGATTTGGATGGTCAAACAAAAAAAAACGTTATTTGGTAGCTCGCATTCTTTCCGTGTGCTCTGCGGTATAAATTATTGTTCTAAGAGTTCCAGTTGACAAAGGTTTTATACAGATCTATTGAACCAGTATTTCAAACCAATGATGAATAATTAGTTTTCTAATGACACAATGTGCTTTGTGTGAATTTAGGCGAGGAAAAGTGCTAACCAGTAATGCCGAGTGTTTCTAATATTATTTTTTAGCGAAACTTCGTGTCATATTCATGTGTATCATAAACTCTCACAACGTGTAACTAAACCACAATCAAAGAAGTGTGAACGATACTTAATAATTACTGTTAGAGCAACATTTAGAAGTAAGCATCCATTGTAGACGTGGATCGTAATTTAATTTTGATAATAGTTCTTAAACTGGCCACATTTTTGATTGTTTCTCTTATCGGTGGTATTACTATATGTAGATAGTTTCAATAGCTGGAAATAATGGCAGTTCGTTACATGGATTTACTATTTTAAGTTTTTCCACAGTTACCGAGATGAATCTTATATTAATTGATGGTACAACCATAGCGATATACAATGATCCTCAAAATGAAACATTGCAAATCTACGGTCTGCGTGGCTGCATTTCTTAGGATATTTATAGAGAACATTAACAGTCTCCTTTGTAGATTCTTTGTTCTGTAAATTTATTTAAAAATTGCTCATGTACTCATATTTCTTAGAGCTTTTCAAGTATGTTTGTGAACATTTGAAAAAGAATTTCATTCTTTTTTTTTCTCGTTTCCTCAATGCCACGTGGAAAACCACAAACTTCCAAAAATTTCAATTCACGCAACTACATATATTCACATTACAATTAAACATACTTGGTTGCGAATGCGTTTTGCAGGAAATTCAAATTTATAATCGGTTATTATTATTTAAAGGAATATAGCATCTCAACGATATTTATAATTGTAACCGGTACGCGCATGATTATCATTGATAGCGACATCAAGAATTTTCATACACGCGTGCGACACTGATTGATAATAATACATCAAATGAAATACGATATAAATGAGTTCAATAAATTCTTGTAACTTACGTATGTACATTCCAATAATTTGTATTAGATTCTCTTTTCACAGGACATGTAAAGTGTCTTATCACAAGACTTTTCCGAAACACTCGATGAAATAACATAATTATTTATTTAATTGATTCACTGAAGAGACACTTGATACCTTGTAAAAATTTCATTTTTAGAATATACTACTATAGTAATAAGTTAACGATTGTGTTACGTTTGACGTAATTAGTGTCGATGCGTGTACCAAACAAACTTATATCAAGCGGACATAAGCGATTAATATTGTACTTATTTCAATATGATCGAATAGGCATTATATTTAATACTCCTTAGGGAACCGGGAAACAGTCAAGTAATTTTTTGACAAATTTATTATTGTTACAGTTGTCTATTTGCTTAAATATTTTGTCATACCTCCCATGGATCAGATTCTTAGTAGAAACGATTGGAAACCTATATTGATCGAAATCACCGTAAAGGAGAAACATTTAAATTGATTGCCTTAAAACGTACACTCGTTACGTGATAATAATAAAATTTCAAATAACGAAGAATTCCTATAATCAATTTGACGATTAATGACTATTCCCTCGTAGTGGCATTTTCTAGATTTTTTCGTATATTATGCGCAGAGGCACACCTACTTTTTTTTCCTTCTTTTTTTAAGATTACGTAAGTTAAGAGCGACGTATTTTTCGAGGCTCAAATTTTTTTCCAGCTTCTTAAGATTCAAGTATTTTCATTTACGACATAAGAGAGATACATCGTGTTTTAAGAGTAAATTACTTAATTTTAAGATTGTGTAACATGTGTTAGCGGAGCATGCTTCTACTTAGATATATAGAGCAGCGATATAACAATAATTATTATAATTATAATGAATTATCAACATAAGGCATTTAATTAGTGCAAAGTATTTCTTAATAAAAGTAATTACAAAAATATCGCTGTGGCTGTTTAGCATTATTTTCATATCTGAACTATTTCTGTCATTTCCAATAATATGTTTATCGAGCATTTAAGTAAACTTTAATCTGAGCAGGTGGCAATAGTGAGATTCTAATAATACTAGAATTAATTTATAGCACTTTATACTGTTTCTATTGTCATCTTTTTGGTGTGTAGTTTCATGAAAACACCTGAACTATATGTATACACTATAAGGCCAAATACATAGATTTATATTAATACGTCTGATGTTGGAGAATAACTATTGCGCAGTTGCTCATTCAATTTCTCTGATAACAATGCAACAACAACGTAGAATATGATTCCGAATTAAAAAAGAATATGTTGTAAATAATTTGCTGCCAAAGTTTAACGTGTATCCGGAAATCCTTTATTGGGCATCTGGTTCATTTTGTCACAGATAAATATTCATTAACATGACTTACTGCAGGAAAAATGGTAAGCTAGTTAGCAGATATTTGTGAATAGCATTGTCAAGAAAAAAGCTTCTACGTTTCACAAAAATATAAAAACTTGGAATAAATGTTGACAATGACGTCAGGAAAACGTATATTGCATTTTCTTGCACAGCATGAAAGTCACACGCCGTCCCAAGAAGATGTACTTCGACGTCCAATCGTAAATGTGAAATCTGAGAAAAGTAAACTATATCTCGTGCAAATAACGCCGCATGGATAGATATTATTGTTTGCGTACGTTTTTGCAACGAAGTTAGCAAAAATTCATGTGATCATCATGTGTTCCGTATGAAAATTCACAAAGCTATTACATATAATTAAGCTCGTTGGTACTAACGAATTGCACGACTTCCAAGTAAACCTAGCAATATGGAAGTCTTGTAATTCCAAAGAGACTGGCAAATTTTCCGATTTATTTATAGGTAAGTTAAAACAAAGTGCAGTTTCGGTGTGACGACCTTGGCAGCCTTGAAGGAACCGATCGTTCGCGGACTTTAGCCTCGTAAACACGTGGAACTGTTGAAGATGAAAATGAAAAAATTGAACCACGCTTAAAAGAACACGTTTCTGTCGCAAGCTCTAGTGTCTTTTTCATGTCGATAATTCAATATGACACTGAGCTTTGCCAAGACGCTCTTGCGTTCGCGCAAACACGTGTTCAATCAGAGATCTTTCTCTTGATCAAGGTGCACGATCACTGCCAGGAAAGAACCTTAATGGCCACTTGGTCTTTGTCGTAGATCTAATTACTATTAATGATCTCTCAGATCTGTCTGTATGTCAATGACTTATAGCGTCGTTCAGGAATGTCTCTTAAAGATCCTTAAGATCTAAAAAAGGGATGATTTATGAATAATTACTTCAGCTGGATATATTGTACATTCAAATAATATATTAGACAATTGGACATCTTAGGAATAGACATCAGCATAGTACATTCAAGACCTAATGAAAAGTCTAACAACAAGATAGCATTTAAGAATTGATCAGTGATATCGTATAACAAACATACTTGATAGCTGATCGAATATGTGATATGACAGTAGACGACTGACGAGTCGTACTTCGCAATAATTTTCTTAAGCAGTTTGAAACAGATGCGAACAATGAGTCTACTGTATCTTCTTTTGTGCCATTGTTTAATTTCATTTATTCCTTCTTCAGCATTCACGGAGTAGCTGCGCTGAGCACGTTTTCATGTTGGGAATCAGTGTCGCTTCGATATACGCTGGACTAGGACGTCTCCGAGGATGAGACTTCAGTTTTCTCTGTTCCGTTCAGAAGCGAGAGTGACAGTCGTGGATAGAGTGCGAATAAAGCTCAAGGCCGGAAGTCATACGCGTCAAGTTGAATGTAAGACGGCGCGCAAAAGTGCGTAGTTGAAGAAGCCCTCATGCGCACGCTCTCGCACGATCCCTTTGTGTTATTTTCGGCGGAATCGCCGTTCAAAGCTTTAAATAGGACTCAGTTTCCGACGAAGAAGGCAGTTCATAATACTAATTCTACATGTTGGAGCATCGCACTATCTTTGATGTGAGTAAACAAGTGCAAAGGACCATTTATTATGCATTTTTCTCGTGTGACAATATCGTTGGAGCTGGCACGTGTCGTGAAGTTCGCGATTCTTTAGCGATTTCATCCTTTTTCTCTTACCGATTGGTGCGCCGTTGATAACGTCTGGTTAAAAGTGACAGTTTTATATCATTTTTATTTTTGTGGCTTTATTTAAAAAAGAACAGGTTAATGTTATCTTTTTTTGGTTCTAACTCACGTCATTTATTTCCATTCGTTCGTCGATTTTGTTTTAATTAAAACTTTTTACTTACCGCGAATTTATCTTGGCTTTTGTATAACAGCTTTTATAATGGTGTTATTATCAAGAATAGTATTTGTATAACAATGTATTTTTGGGTATTTTTTTTTTGGAAAATTTACTGGTTCCAGTTTGCACTTCATTAAGCTTTGTTTGAAGTCGAGGTGGGGAGGAATGATGCAAGTTTGCTTCACTCTTCAAACTTTGAGACTTCTTATAAGTACACAATTACCAAACTGTTGTGTAGATGCATACAAATACAGTGCACCCGGCCTGCTTGCTTATACGTCGAAATGCCACTGAAATACGAGCGATCTAGGTCGCAATTTAAATGCACCTGCGATCAAGCAAAAAGAAGATAAATGTAAAACGAATGACGAAAACGAAAATTGAAATTGACGCTCATAGCTATTTCCAAGACCACATGATTTACTAGCAGTGGGAATTGTAATCGCTTAATGTAACATATAAAAAGTAAAGGTTATCGTGGATAAAAAATAGCAGATAAATATAATTAGTATCAACAACTAATTCTCAACGATAAATAAAGTTCCTAAACATTATTAATTGAGCAATTAAGAAATTGAATGAAAATGATGAGCGAATTTAAAAGTACTTAAGAAAGTATTCTTTTGTAAAAATATTTTCTTTAGCCCTTTGTTTTTAGCTTTCAGGTTATTAGATCACAGCTGAATATTTTCGTTGACGCAGCAGGTGTCAGTAATGAACAGTTAATATGAAAAATAATAGTTATCGTAACATTAGCGGAAAGAAGTATAAATATCTTTAATAGAGACGCCTGTTTTCCGATTTAACATACTTTAAAAAATTTTTTAAATCTTAATGGATCACGAATAGCGTTTCGATCGTTTATCAGCTATTTACATTAAACAGATAGAGCGAGACTCGGCCATTGCTTCCCACTGTTTCCGGCATCATCGCCGAAATTGCGTCGTTTCTTGGCAAACCTGCGAAACATGATTTCGGGATTTTTCGACGTGAAGGTACACCACGTGGTCATTTTCCCACGAGCGCGATATTATTTTGGAAACCGTAGACATAGGTTATTCTTCGCGTAAAGTTGAAGCTAAGAAAAGCTATGATGACTTTCTTTTGGCTTAGCACGAAGAACTGAGAAATGGCAATGCATGTATACCTACTTATAGCTACTTTGACTTGCAAAGTAAGAAAATAATACCTCAGCATTTTTTTTCTATCAAATGTTTATTTATTTTTTACGATGCTAGAAATATGCCAAATTTAAAGATGACATCATTGTACCAGCCGAGGAAAATTGAATTTTACTACTATGCTATATGCATGTAATGAATATTAGATGTATCATTTTTCAATGACTTTTTCACTGTACAGTTGATTCTGTCATTTCGATTAGAACTTAGAATAATTCAAATTTAAGGCTGATAGTCTTTTATAACAAACCTTTAATGATGATTAATTTTTCGCTTTTCAGATATTCCGTTTTTACCGCTTGTAAAAGATATCAGAGGTTTATCAGAGTGCGTACACCAGTATATAAATAATGATGCACGAAAATGTCTGCATGCCATGTTATCATGCATATATACGTACTTCATGTATACTATGAATAGATCACGTGGGAAACTTAAATTATTTTTGTTTACTTAAAACGAATCTGTTTCATCTTGCACGAGGGTATAAAAGCCCCAGTCACAAATGGACTAGAATCATGTCAAGGTTCAGTCGACACTTCATCAACATAGGTGTAACAATAATTAAAAAATGTTTGGACAAACGTTGGTTCTGTGAAAGAAACTTAGTGAAATTTATCATTCAATTGTGGCATATTTAAGAACGTTATTTATAAATAAAATCATAGAATCGAGTGGGAAATATTTATTCAAGAGAAATAATCAGTGTATTTTAAGGATTCATTAGATAACTTCCATATAGGAAATATTGCTTAGCTTTTGTTTTTCCAATTAACTGCATTGACTTAATTATATATAACACTAGAAAGACCGTAACTTAGTATATACCTATACATATTGCCCAAAGCAGTCAAAATGACTGCATTGTGAAAGAATAACTAATGTGTAAAGAAATTTGATTAAAATTAATTTTTAATATTTTTCATATTATTTACAGTTGTATACTTCTATTCGACATTTCTTTCATGAATTTAGGGCGCAAAAGAAATAAAATAAACAACTTGTTAGAACAAGTATCACTGCATAAAGATTCGAATAACAAGTACTACTTCAGCTTATTGAGCAACTGCAACTCATCAAGTATACGCCCAAATCGACAATTTATCATGTACTTGTATGTTATCATGTGACGATAATCGAAAAAAAATGAAAACTGTTATTTCAATACAAAGCCGAACTGGTCATATAAGGAATTTACTCAATTCAATAATAAGAGTCATTTGATTATTTAAAATTTCCCAAGCAGTCAAAATGACTGCTTTTGGGCAATATAGGTATAACACATATATATATACCGGAAATGAAGGAGGGGGGAGTTAACTACAATTATTAATAAACGCATTTATATGTTGTACAAAAAGTCACAAAGTTCTAAGAAATTGTGTCATTATATACATAATTGTTTTTGTAATTGAAATTAAAAAGCAGTCAAAATGACTTCCTTGGGCAATCTAGTGTTAATCATCCATCATCGATATTTTTGGTCGTCATGAACTTCAAAAGTACAAAATTTCTTTGGCCTGCATTATAAAAGAAAAGTGTCACGGTGAAATTCATCATAGATCAAATAGCGATGCATGATCTGTGAAGCTCTGAAGTCTTCATAACTACTGAACTATATTATGTCTGTTAATGCAACTATTAAGTGATGCAATGATAATGTCGCAATTCGTAGATGCCGGCCGAGTGCATCGCCAACCCATTACAGCGGGAGCTGGCCGACTCGATAATTCGAATGCAACCCCTGGACGAAATTCGAATTCTATTGGCCTGCGGAGCTAAACCCAACGAACCCGTCACTCAAGGATTAAGACCTTTGCACTATGCAGTTTGGCAGAGATACGAGGATGCCGCTCAGCTTCTTCTCGTCCGGGGCGCTGATATTGATGCTACGGACGAGTGCGGCTATTCAGCCCTTCACTTGGCCGCAGAACATGGTTACCTGGATCTGGTAAAATTGCTTCTCAAATATGGTGCAAAGGTCGATCATCGCCAAGATACTGGTGAACTTTTTCCCAGGTGAGATCTAGGTTTAATATATAAGCTTCCATGCTTTTTTTCTTTCTTTTCAAAGTAATGAGCGTGAATCTTAAATTTGAAGAGTTAGCAATATTGTGGAAGCAGACTGAGTTGGCCTTTTTATTGAAGAATAATGAAACTAATTACAGAACCATGCTTTGCGATGAGCCTCTGCGTCTCGCGCTCAGGAATCGGCACATAGAAGTGGCCAGAACTTTATTGGAGGCTGGTGCCAATCCCAATAAGAGATACTTTTTTGGATCGGAAATTAATCTCGTATCGCCTTTGGATTTGGAATGTATGGAATTGTTATTAACATTTGGTGCACAACCAAATACTAGAGATCGTGCTGGACTGACTCCACTTATGAAAGCGGCTCGATTGCCACAGGTAAGTAAATTGTCTGTATAATTCGATATTTTAGATTAAATTACCTTCATTGGTATAATTCAATTTATATCGTCTTAGGGTATGTCGTCCGTTCTTCTCTTGCTGAACTATGGCGCGGATGTGAACTCGATGGCCGATGCCAGACACGACTATCGAACGGTCCTGCATTACGCGATACTTGGTGGTGATCCAGCAGTAATAAATCTTCTATTGAAGCAGGGCGCCAGGCTAGACCTTGGTCCAGACTATCAGAAACCTTCGGCCTTAGACATATCTATACTTAAGGGAGATCCATCGATCGTAGAGATGTTGCTCAATTCAGGTTAGTGATCACAGACACACTTCGATGACTATAAAATGTTATTGTATTCATTGAATGATTTATTTGTCGTCATAGGAGCCGATGTGAACGCAACTTCACCCATAATCGGGTCGCCACTTCATGTTGCCTGTGCTGACAACATCCCAAATAGACTGGAGATTCTTTGTATGCTACTAGAACGTGGTGCAGATCCCAATTTGGTAATTCGTAGCGACGACGGACCCGCCTTGAGACCCGTTCTCGCTGAGTACGTCGCTTCCAATGAGAATCCGTCAGTGGAAGTTGTCGCATTACTATTGAAGTATGGTGCGCGCGTTGTTATAAAGACCCAATTTCGAGACCCTCACGGTATTTTAAACTCCCTGCAAAATACTGCGGACAAGCCTAGGCTTCTGAGAGCTTTACTAGAAGCCGCTGAGAGCTTCGATCCGTGCATGATAAGAAGATCAAGTAGCTTGACAGATGCGCAGAAGGCTCTTGTTATGGAAGCTGCAAGGACTCCTTTGCCGCTGACGCATCAGGCGAGACTAATTGTTCGCAAACTGTGCGGAACGAAATTGCCTAAGATTGTCAGAAGACTCCAGTTACCGCAATCTTTGCACCGTTATCTACTCTACGATTTTCATTAATTTTTTATAGAATTGGATGATTGATTCTGGCCCAGGTGAGAGAAGTTTAATCTCTCTTTAATCATCGCGATGCTTGAGGCATTATTAATGTTTTTTCTATAATCCAATTTACGAAATTCTTTTTTTTTCATTTATTACGTTATTTATTGTTAATTACGCACAAAGAGAATGTGTAATAACTTACTAAAAATGGTACATATACTATAGCTATGACCGTTCATAATTTACTCGTTTTTCTTATCATACGTTAATACCGATTTTTTCTTTTTTCTCTACCCTTTTTATTTTAAGTCATCGAATGACTTGAATTTTTAAGGTTTCTTCTCTTTTCCTGGTCAGTTTTTATATATATGCGTATTTTGAATATTATATCCAATAATTGACTGCGTTTATTCCCTTCGTATAAGACGGATGTGTTCAGATTTATTATTCTACAGTTAATTCACACGATTAATCTTTAATCTCTTATTGCCTCGAGACAATAATTTTCTGTGGAATGAATCGTTCACAGTCTAGCTCACGTGGTCCTCTAGAGGTCCCAGTATTATTCTCTCGTATTAATCATTATTTATGGCCACGTATAATACTTGACAATAATGCGTAAAAACAATTGTATCAGCGCATCACGATCGTATTATTAAAAAAACATGATTCTGGTGTGCTCGACGCATTTGTTGATTTAATACGCTAACGAATATTTAATTTTGTACCTTTGTATTTATACGCTGAGTAGAAATTAATAAGTTAAATAAAAAATTGGCGTAAAGTATATGCACTAAGAGTTCTCTTTTACGTTTCCCAAATTGTCCAGCGCATCAGCATTAAGATAACTTACGCTGCTCTATACATGTATCGTCTTTTTATGCGCATTCGTGAAGTGTCGCCAGACTATCTCGTCACCGTTTAACTATCAATAACTTATTTGCGATCATTGAATCAAATATTTAACTAGACTCCAAGAGTGCACACAGAATCTTGGCTAGCACGAGCAACAATGGTCCTCTCCCTTCTCTCGAAATAGCAGACCCAATACCGCGACTTACGTCAAACTTTTGGCAGTACTCTCGCCATGATGAAATGCAAATTTTATGATAGCGTTGCGAATCAAATGATATATCTGCGATTTATCATCAGTAATAGTTTACCCTATGTTTACTTAAACATCAATATCACATTGGTTCGGATATACGAATAACTGAAAAATATATTGTATTATAATGTTAATAAGCGATTGCGATTTATTCTGTATCTTTACATCTATATATGAGTTTTATTTTTACATCCGGAAAGAATAAGGACCTATAACGGCATGCACTGATTGTGGTAACGTGCCAAGTGGTATTGAGTAAAGAGAAAAAGAAACTTTTAGAACCGAACTACAGTCTATTAATTAATCTGTAGTTGTTAAAGAATGTAATATGCTTTTTATGTTCTTGGTATAGGCACTTTGAGAAAGCTGCATGTTGCGTCGTATAGGACTTGATGAATTCGCAATTTGGCTACTTGTACCTGATTATTGTCTTTTATATTCTTTAGTTCCTCCGCTACAAAATTTCCGAATGCAGTATTAGCGTCCTTCTCTTGTGAATCTGAACCAGTGAAAGACTTTACAACGTGTAACTTCGTATCTTCAGCGTCCCGAGTTTTTTGTCGTTTATTCGTGAGCTCCAGGAGGTTTGGTTCGGAACTGACACTCCTCTTTAGGGAGCCAGGCGATTGTTGAGTAGCCTCTGGTGCTTGTATCTGTTGTAAATTGTAATCCAGGGTGATTTCTCCCGGTTCAAGAGAGGTAAGAGTACTATTTTCACTGTCGTAATAGAAGACATTTTGAATTTCCTGTTAAAAAATATATAAAAAAATGTTTCGTAAACAAGCATCATGAAAATTATGGACATTGATCATTATTACAAAGATCTGTTATATATCACCGTAGTAGAAATATCAAATTCGTGTTGAACACCATCGAAATTATCATTTTGATTCACAGATGTCAATGGCTTCTTAGTCACGTCGTCCTTGAGGAACATCAGAAGATCCAGAGCGAACCATTGTGGTTTTCTTACCAAAGAAGTATTATTTGGTCCTGCTGATAACTTTGCAGAATTCCATCTTCTATATTCCTTTCTAAATGAACTTCGAAGCATATAAAGTTTCTTCTCTACGTCGGCCAGTGAACAATTAAAATGATTCGCCATGTCTGTTAGAGCTTCGCGACGCAAACGGCGGTTTTTGTAAAATTCATGGGTCGGATCCCAAAGACATTTACGTTCTTTATACATCTCAATAAGAATTGTTGTACTGTTCTGATCCCATTCCGGCACGCATTCTTGAGCAGGTACTACAGATACCGATGTAATGGATATCGTACTAGGTTGTGACGACATCCTCGCTCGATCAAAATTGCTAGGAATTTAATTGGAGCGTCTCTATTTTTCAGGTTCAAGGTTTCGATATTAATACTTTGATATGAAATTTATAACCGTTTCTCAGACCCTTCTTGGACTCCAAACAACACCAGAGTATCCCTATGGAAACCCAGATTTTACCCAGCTGCCAATCGACCGGTACTGTCATACCTTTTTCCGATCATCAAATGTTCTGTCAATGTATACCTTACAATATTTTTCTGCTTCATTGCTCTTGAATTTATAATATTATGTTATTATATAATTAAGCTCAGTTCTGACAATTCATCAATTCTTATATTTCTTCTGGAGGATATATCCAAACAATAAACTTTAATATGGATGATATCAAGGGATTGCGAGAAATTCAAGTAACACAACTTATGCATATAACATTAAAGGTAAATAATCTTTTATTCTCAAGGAAACGATATATATATATATTTATGTGAATTATATTTGAAATATTTAAAATAATATACAGGATATAACTATTTAGTTAATTAGAATTAATAAAATTGTCGAAACATGTTTAACATTTAAATTTAGTACAATGGTATAAAATGTACGCTCTCTAAAATTATATAGGCATCGTTTTCTATTAGTTTATATATTACAATATTTTGCGTTTATATTTAAATAAAATATATCTCTAATCAGTCTTACAGACTCAAGATTTTACTATTTGAACTAGAAAAAAATGTGACACGGTAGATCTTAGCAATTTTGCTTGATACCTATATCACAGACCACTTATTCACGTAATAATATGTAACAAGATTGGTACTACAATATGGTGCTGATGTGGATTAGCCGTTCTGAAAGATGGCGGCTGCAGTGTTGAAGACCGTCCTAAGAAGTTCTACGAGATATTCTTTGGACGGAAGGACTCTATTACGGAATAGAGCTCCAATTATTTATAACAGGTAAACATAATATTTAGTGAATCTGATTAATCATGCTGACTACTCCATTCGATTACGTAATATAACCTATTAACCTAAACGCACAGTGCAATCTAATTTAATTAATTTCTGCATTATGTTTATTAAATTTTACTATACTTCGTTTTAGGCTACATTATATTTTACAAAACAGTATGCTAATTCAATTGATATAGATATCTTAATTTTCTAGTCAGCGAACTGCAAACGTTTGGTATCCAGATGAGGAATTTATCAAATCCTTTGATAATCCCACCTTCGCCAATGATCAATATGCTAGGTGGAAGAAGTTTAATTTCGAAGAACCTCCAGAGCCAATTGAAAGCAGACTTAAAAATATTCAAATTAATTTTGGTCCACAACATCCTGCAGCACATGGTGTATTACGTTTGATTTTGGAGTTGGATGGAGAAACTGTTGTAAGAGCTGATCCACACATTGGTCTACTGCATCGTGGAACTGAAAAACTTATTGAGTATAAGACATACATGCAGGCTTTGCCTTATTTCGACCGTCTAGATTATGTATCTATGATGTGCAATGAACAATGTTTTTCTATGGCAATAGAAAAGTTGCTTAACATCGAAGTCCCATTACGTGCAAAGTACATACGTAGTAAGTGTTTGATACTCCTATATATCTTAACCCTTAATCTTCAATATAAACAATGGAAAGTAGACACTACATACATGCTTATAATAATTAAATATATTGAAACGCTTTTTAAACAGCTTTATTTGCGGAAATTACTCGAATCTTAAATCACCTAATGGCTATCGGAACCCACATCCTGGATGTGGGGGCTCTGACTCCTCTATTCTGGCTGTTTGAGGAGAGAGAAAAATTGATGGAATTCTATGAACGCGTCAGCGGTGCTCGTATGCATGCAGCTTATATTCGTCCAGGTGGTGTATCTTTGGATATGCCATTGGGACTAATGGACGACATATATGAATTTATAACTAAGTTTTCTGAACGTCTGGATGAAGTTGAAGACCTTGTAACTGAAAACAGAATTTGGAAAGCTCGTACCATTGATATTGGTGTCGTAAATGCTGAGGATGCATTAAATTATGGCTGCAGTGGTGTCATGCTGCGTGGATCTGGAATTAAATGGGATATTAGAAAAAGCGCACCCTACGATGCATACGATTTAGTCGATTTTGATGTACCCATTGGAATGAAAGGAGATTGTTACGATAGGTGAGTCCCACAACCAAAAATATTAAAACTCATTGTAACAGTATATAAATAAGAATGTTCCTGTTTGCACCAAAAAGTTTATTATTTTAATCATTCCTAGATACCTCTGTCGAATGGCAGAAATGCGTCAGTCCCTACGAATTATTCACCAATGTCTAAATCAAATGCCAGCTGGTGAGGTCAGGACTGACGATGCCAAGATAGTACCACCAAGTCGTGCCGAAATGAAGACAAGTATGGAGGCTTTGATTCATCATTTTAAATTATTCAGTCAAGGTTTCCAAGTACCACCTGGTGCCACTTATACCGCCATAGAAGCTCCAAAGGGTGAATTTGGCGTTTATCTTGTGAGCGATGGAAGCAGCAAGCCCTATCGTTGCAAAATCAAAGCTCCTGGCTTTGCGCATCTAGCTCTACTAGAAAAAATAGGGGTAGGCCATATGCTCGCTGATATCGTAGCCATCATCGGTACTCTCGACGTTGTCTTCGGCGAGATTGATCGATGAGCTTTTATTGAACACATAGTCACAAAGTAAGAACGTCATTCGTCATTCTCTAATGTACGAGGGATCTTCATAAACCACCTAGAAATTTTTGAAAGACCCTCATTTGAAAATACGAAACGTTACAATCGAGTCCTTTCTATTTACATTTGCGTTGCATTTATGCAAATAAAAATCAAAATGCAAATGTATAATGTATTCGTTAAATTGTTACGAAAACTGTCACTAACCTGAGAATACGGGATTATAATAAAACTTAAATTAATATCGCCTTTGATTATCACAGTTATCATCCTGCAGTCAGTTCCATATTTTATTAAGAATTTCTAACAAATTCTTAAATTTTTACCCTAGATTCTTCTATTAATTTTATATAACTGCAAGTGCGTATACGATTAGGCATCTATATTAAATGAGAAATAGTAACAAAACATTTGGACATCAAAACTATTTCGGCCTACTATTACATCTTCAAACCATTGTCCAGCTTTCTTCTTTCTGTTGCATTGTCATGTAGTATAGAAAGCGGGCAGAAGGAAAGTATATACATATCATGAATGTTGGCCTTGTGCAATATTTCACCGTTATATTATTCTAACGAAGTAGCAAGAGAACATAAAGTATTACATGAAATGGAGCATTTTACCTGCTAGGAATATATAAGGTTTATTTGCGAGTATCTGATGAGATCTTCTCGAGACTTTCTTAGCATAACTATACATGGTTAGTAAAATTCAAATCCATATCCGTTATACTATATCACAATTTTGACGTTGGCAAAAACCTAGACGAATACTCTACATTGTCAATATAAGTACAATTCATTTAATTCCAAATATTATGGTCTTCTTGATTGTATTGTCCTCGTTCTATCATAATGTGGCATTTAACCATACGTAAATGTCTCTCGTGAGAAAATTAATGTTGCATCACGAACTTTATCTTCCTGCGCTTTCCTTTCACTAGTTTGTTCATGAATTTCAAAGTCGTGACGTTAGTCGAGACGAATTTCATACTCCTTCGGACTGTTTTTAAGTGACGATTATTTAAATGTGTCTCCACTGACGTATTTCTGCGAATTAATACGTATATGTTTTCACTTTTATGCATATTTCAGTAATTACTTCTTATGAACTTCTGTTTGTATGCAATTTACAGATTGCGTTGAGTGCACAGGAGAGAGAATATATGTGATATAGTTTGTTCTTTTCAATTCATGAAGATAAATTCTTGTTTATGTGGAATTCAGATAAAAATGTGAAAATTGAAAAATAGTATCGAGTGGTATATGCAATCATTTTTTATAAACTCACATGCAAAAAGTCAAGTAATATTTTCTTAAAACACCATAACTTTTTCAAAGTCCTGCGTTGAAAAATTTACAGATAAAAAATGACGCGGGATGAATATATTATAAATTACCCAATAGCACAACCGAGTAAAGCAGTGATTATTTTTAATTATATATATGAGCCGTTTATTTTGAAAGTGGCCTAACTGCGTTTTTCAATATTTTCCGGTTACCATGGTTACATGTACAAATTCATGTTATTTATCAGTAAAGCATTTTAGTTTTCTTTTATTCCGAGCAAATACGATAATTCTTGACACATAAGCTTTCAGAGTTAGTTCAATAATTGAACCGTTTAGTTTGAAAGTGGCCTAACTCCATTTCTACTTAAATTTGTATATTTACTAGTGATAATGTCGGAAAGCAGTGATGAAGGTAATTTTAACTAACTAGTATTTACAAGTTAACCTCAATTTTTGGACAATTGCGTTAGTTGAATAACCAGTACGTTTAATTAATGTCGTATCCATATGTTACACCATCCATATATGACCATATGGGCGATTATATCAACCCTAGTATGCATTTTTGTTGTTTTTTCTTCTATTTAACATTATATAAACATTTTAAAACATCGTTTTAACAAGGAAATACTCTTTCTTAGTTTTGATCTATTAAATATTCCATAAAAGATCATTTTTCTTGACCGTATTTTGAACGTGTGGTGTAACATATGGATGGTGTAATATATGGATACGACAATTAATATAAAACTTAAAATTTATTAATAAATTGTAAAGAAGAAATAGTAACTAATGATTTTAAAAAAATCGAAAAAGAAACAGAATTATTGAACAATATTCGTCTTCAGGGGATGAAGATACGAATAACAATGGAGAAAAGATCGATGAATCATACATCCAAAAAGTGCGAAAGATTAAACGGAATTTAGGAAATAATATAAATAATATAATATAATATAATATAAATAAATAATTTACTGTTCGTTCCCCAAGATTATTACAAGATTATTAAAAAGTGTCGGAAAGGTAATAATTTTATTTTAAATGAAATGAGACAAGATTTTGTGTCAACAAAATTATTAGAAGACGCAATTTTTAAACGGGTGAAGAATTCTGATGGAGAATCGATAAACTGGTTGAAAATATGTTGGATGCGTTTTGTCAGAAATGAACCATATAAAATTTTATATAAGACATCAATGAATAAGAATGAAAACTTTAAAATCCTGAATTTATTACCACGTCGGGGTAGACCAAAAAAATTCGAAAATATTGTATTGACACCATTGTATAAAAATATCAGACAAATTACAACAGCAAAATTTAAGGACATAATTGACCTATTACGATACATACCACTGGAACATCATGATTACTTCAAATCGCTTACACACGCACAAAATGTAGATGAGTAGTAAATTGTTTTGTAATAAATTTATGTTTGTAATTTTGTACGTTATGTAGTTAGAAAATGTTTTGAATTGCATAAATTATGTTTCCGAAGTGTTTTAAAGATATGTAAAATAAATTCATTATTGTTTTTTTTCAATTTGCACCATATAAATGATATTGAATGGACTTGGGAACCTTCAAATTTTATAATGAATCTGGTTGTTAATTTTGAAAGTGGCCTAACTCCATTCTTGATAAGAAAACGCATATTATTCACTTAACAATTGCCACTATTTTAATAGGAACTATAAATTTAACACCCTTAGATACACTCAAGCAGTATGACTCATTAGTATCCTATACGTATATTTTTAAATTCATTGAAACGCAAACCCTTAAGTATCTCGATTTGAAGATAAATGGAGTTAGGCCACTTTCAAAATAAACGGCTCATATATCAATCCTATAGGAATAATATCATCCATGGTGCTCGGTTCATTTTTGTTGAGGTTATATATACATTGTATATATCTTGAAAAATGGTTGATTTCGTCAAGAGATACATATAAATCTACTGCAACACTTTAAAATCACTTTGCTGTTATTTTTTAACATATACTTGCTTCCACAACAGTAGCTTTTTGTCTTATTGTTAGTAATGTTTTATTAATGACTCTTTAATGGCACACTGTGGAGGCGCTAAAGAAATAATTAAAAAATAGTGGAGTACGCGAAAATGACATACAGTTTATATAATAAACAATAGCATTCTTATGTACGATTTTAATAAAAACCTTTCAGGTCTTAAACGGAAATTAAATAATTACAGAGGAATGGAAATAATTTATACACGCACAAGTCAAATGACACGACTCTCAAACGTGTTTACTGTACATACATTGGAGATGCAGCATACAATTACAAGAGACACGCAACAATTTACGAATAAAATATAAGAATACTAATTGTAAGTGAACGTGACACAATTCATAAGATGCTCGTAACAAGTAAATAGCTCACTTTGAAATATTACTGAATTCATATTTTTCTGCAATTACTACTTAAAAAAGGATGTACCATAATGTATATTTACTGATATAACATTTGTAGGTAAGTATTTATAGTGTAGAAGGATTAGTTTATTTATTCATTTTTTAATATTTGTTTATTCCTACTAAACGATTTTTAAAGATACGTGAAAAAAGTGGAAAGTAAGTAAATTGATTTTTAACCTTCGACACTAAAAAGCCTCATTATCAATAAAAATGTAATTCAATTGCCGATAATTCAAGCTAAAACGCGACAGTTAAGATATTGAAAATCTCTACACAAGTCGCATGCGATACGTTAAAGACACGTCATTCTGGTGTGATGTTTTATTATCAAATTAATAACAAATGACAAGGAACCGGACAGCCGATATTTATGTTATTTATAACGCCAGTCTTTTTTCCACGTTTCAAAAAATATTCATCACTTAACAATAAATCACATCTGTAATCGGTCCACGAGTTCTGTGTGATTTTTGGACAGTTCACAAATAATGCCATCCTTAACGAATCACTCATGCTGAGATATAAGAATAAAATATATTTCAGCGCAAAATCCTGCACATGCATGCTTTGTAAAAAAAATTGTATGCAACGCTACATATGGTTTGCTAGATTAATTTCGATCTGTCAAAAAAAAAACACATTGAACCAGCGAACTGACCATATGTGCATGAGTATGTGAAGTTATAGCTTAATTATATTGAATTGTAGATATGGTCCAATGCATTTTTTAAATATACAAGTAATTGAAGGTCAAAGATCATGTTATTTAATTAATTGAACTTTCAAAGCAATGTCTATAGTTCAATCTATCATGTTAATCATCTGTTAGTAGAAATTTTGAAAATTGTTATATACTGTAGTAGCGTATATTTAATCGAAATGGATATTCCTATATCATTCCCAAGTATATGAATTACTTGGACAAAAACTTCAAAAGTATTATAACCTTTAAATTCATCACACAAGCGAACAATGCATTTGATTCACCCATGCAGAATACAAATATTTAAAATGTGCGAGTCATCAGGGAAAAAGATACTGACCGACTATGAGTGTATTGACTATAGGGACTAAACAATCATAATTGTCTATACAGTTTATTTTGAAATGCCCACATCTATCATTTACCCGTGATTCCTTAAATAAAAAACATTGATTGAGTTATCTCTTCTGTAAGTTGGAAATTTCTTAAAAACAGACGTTATCAAGAAGCTGAATATTTATTACACGTGATGACCGAAATATAAGCAATAGTTATTATACGGTAATCAAATTGAAGTTCGAACATCTTAATGACTATTATGTAATGCCCCTCATGAATTATTTCATCTCGAAGTAAATTTTTTTAAAGACATTGTAGAACATTTAGTTTCCAATTGGTGAATGTGTTCCTTATGTGTGTCATGGACGTTTAGAACTTAGCAGTCACAATAAAAACAATTTTTTACAGAGATAACAATTAAGTTTGTGCAGCAAAATGTATTTAACTGCATATAAAAAATACCCTTTTTTTGTTAAATGATTTTGTTAGTTGTATACAATTAGTAAAATATTTCATCTTTTATGTAATTATCGATCAGACTTATGTATGGTTATACATAATCATGTGTTTATGTTTGTAATAAGAGTCTAAGAACCGCAGTGCAGTCTATTTTCATTTCGGACGATCGATCATTCAGAAACTTGACCTATCTTGACCCTTTAATCTCTGACACGTTTTTCCAGTTAAAACTTGTTAAACGAATTAAATTGTCGGTACTATAAAAACATTTCATTCTGACACAATTTAATCAATTAAAATTATTTCTATTTACGTGTGCGCAGATATTCTTGCCAATTACACCTTTTGTTTCGTGAAGATTTGATTGATATTTTTTAAACGGTTGGTAATTCGG